CTAATGTGCCACGGAAACTCGGCGTCGAAAAGCTGCAAACACAACAGATAGCAGAAGCCTACCACGCTCAAGGAGAGAGAAAAAAAAAAGAAAGAACAAGAAAAACATGATCGCGACCAAATTGTACAGGAGTCAGAATGAAATCCGAACATTTTACCAACGAGAAAAACACCAAACCGAAGGCTTTGGTGCAGACACATCCTTCTTTAGAGATGAAGAAGGAATCCTGGTGACAGATACAGACAGCGTGCTGAGGATCTGAGAAGAGCATTTTGAAAAGCTTCTGGTATCAAATAGTGGCGGTGAAGAACATATCCCAGAACCAATAAGAGATGGCGGAATAGAGGGTATACCACCTAGTCAAGATTAGGTCCGAGTAGCAATTAATCGGCTGAAGAACAATAAAGCAGCATGTGCCGATGGATTATCAGTCAAACTAGACCGGTTGTCAGATGCTGATTAGTACAATTTGGCTAGAGGAATGCATGCCTAATGATTGAAATCTCAGCATCCTGTATCCCGTGCACAAAAAAGGAGACACATTATGTGCCAACTATAGAAGAATAAGTCGCCTTCCCATCCCATATAAAGTGCTATCCAGCGTGCTGTGTGAACGTCTGAAGCCAATGATCAACGACATTAATGTACCATAACAATGCGGCTTCAGGCCTGGCAAATCCACAATTGACCAGATTTTCACCCTGAGCCAGATCATGAAAAAGACCCACGAAAACCACATCGACACATTCCACCTGTTTGTTCGTCGACTATAAAGCCGCTTTCGACAGCCCAATCCGTTCAAAGGTATTTAAAGCCATATCTGTGTTCGGCATTCCTGCAAAATTAATACGGCTTTTCAGGATAACTTTAACTGGCGAAAGGCCAGTAGTTAGAGTCGAAAAGGACTTCTCGGAGCCTTTCAATACCGAACGAGGAGTCAGACAAGGTGACAGTTTGTCGTGTGACCTGTTTAACATCCTGCTGGAAAGGGTCATATGAGGTGCAAAGGTGGACAGAAGTGGTACTCTGTAGACCAAACGGCTTATGTCACTCGCCTATACCGATGGCATAGACATAATGGGTCAAACATTGCGAGCGATAACAACCACCTTTGAACGGATTTAGAAAGAGTCTCCCAAAGAGGAACTGGCAGTAAATGGCGAGAAGACCAAGCTCATGATATCAACGCGCAAGACTTCCAGTAGACTTGGACTAAATGTGAACTTGAGAACTACATAACTTATATAACTTGGTAATGCCATAAACAGCATCAGCTGTGAAATCCGCGGGATAATAGTGTTGACCAACAGATGCCAATATTGTCTGAAATAAGCAACTCAAAAGCAAGGCCACCTCTCGCCAGACCAAACTCACACTCTACAAGATGCTGATACTACCCTTGCTGTTATATTACACAAGACCGACGCGCTTGGAAATATTTTTTAAGCTTGGCATATGGAACAACGATAAATATCTTGGCCTTTGCTACTTCTAAAAATAAATATTTTGAGGAAATGTATGCCTTTGAAAATTATGAAATCTACGGATTCACTCTTGACAATATTTATTTTGGCTTTAGAAAATAATAAAAAAAATTTACGCCATAGATAGGCCTGATAAAAACTATTCTTTAAAAATCTACGCCATAGATAGGCCTGATAAAAACTATTCTATAAAAATCTACGCCATAGATAGGCCTGATAAAAACTATTCTTTAAAAATCTACGCCTTAGATAGACCTTGAAAAAAATACACGCCTCAGATAGGTCTTGAAAAAAATATTCTCTAAAAGCCTACGCCTTAGATATGCCTTGAAAGAAACTATTATTTAAAAATCTATGCCTTATATAGGTCTTTACATTATATAGAGGTAATAAATCGTATATTGTCTGAATTCCTTCTATATTCTGAAAATTTCCCTCGGACTCTATTGACATAAAACACCCCTTCCTCAAATTCACTTTAGCGCGGCCATTTCACTCATTACCTCCTTCAGTTTCTATTTAAATTATAATTACCTCCAGAATGCCTTACTAATTACCACTGTCATTATTTTCCTGTCTGTTTCCCTTCCTTCAAACAATGAATGAAACGCATTGTGTAATGAAATGAAATTGACCAATGAGACAGAACAAATGCTCCTTCCCGAAGTGGTGAGGACTAGTAAATGTCCTTTGACATTAAATTTTATTACTTTTCAAATGGCTAAATATTTTCATTACTGGTGTTGTAGTTTTTTTCTTATTGTTTTTGTTGGAAATAGAACAACGCAACTTTACAATTATTATTGTAGATTAGTTGTTGTTGTGCTACGTCGTTGTTGTTCAGTAGTCATAGCAGTTTTTATATTGCGTGCAATTATTTGTTGTCTTTGCATCCACAAAATATCTTCTAGGGGATTCAGAAAATGTAAGCGTGAGAAAGGGTGTTAGAATTCCTATTCGTTACTCCCTATTTTTATTATTGTATATATTTATTTTTATTTTCCTGTAGGTAGTACTACAAGTCGTTCTGTCATTTTTTCTAGTCTATCTGCATTTATTACTGTTGTTTGTAATATTTGAATAGTTTAATGACACCTTGCTTTTTTAAGGTAGGTGTTAGCTACATTTTTTTATAGTCCACGGACCGACCGAACGATGAGTAGCAACTTTGGTCGTTTTCAGTTTATTTTCATTTTTGATATTTATGAAGTTGTGCATTTTTTATACATCGCCTGTGCAGAAGCATGAGAAACTTTTGTTTTTATGGACTAGACATGAAGGCAAAAAACGATTATTATTACCGTTAGCGCACTCATCCGGACAACACGTGCAATAATTGTGGTATAAAACGTTTAGTTTGGTGGGAGGGCATATTTACTTGGAGTGCCTTTGGTTACAATCGTTAAACAAGATCGGCACGAATATATACACTAAAGCATCAAAAAACTATTCTTTAAAAATCTACGCCTTAGATAGACCTTGAAAAAAAATATTCTTTAAACCCAGTAAGGGAAGTAGTAAAGTCGGACGGGGCCGACTATATGATACCCTTCACCATTTTGGGTACATCCAACAGATGAAATCCTAACAGACGTCGCATTTTTGAAATTAAACATGTCATTCTGCAACCTATACTAAATTTTGGTCAGATATAGAGTTGCTTCTTACAATGGGACAACATTATGTAAATAAATTTAAAGCAAAACATCGAAATCTAAACCGTTTTCATCAAAACTTGTCACATGTTACGTTACACTTATTTCAGTATGTTTTTTTGCATTCGGCCACATTTTGTGTTCATTTACTTATAAATCCAAATTTCGTGCAAATAGAAGGATATATAGAGACTTTGGTGCACCATTTATTTTTATATATGAGACCTATATGTAAATCTGAACCGATTTTCACGAACTTTAAAACACATCGTTCTAGACTTAATTCAGTACGCAATGCCAAATTTCGTGCAAATCGAAGAATATATAGGGACTTTGGTGCACTATTTACCTAAAATCGGACGAAAATATATATGGGAGCTATATCTAAATCTGAACCGATTTTCACGAAATTTAACACACGTCGTTCTAGGCTTAATTCAGAATGCTATGCCAAATTTCGTGCAAATCGAAGGATATATAGGGACTTTGGTGCACCATTTACATAAAATCGGACGAAAATATATATGGGAGCTATATCTAAATCTGAACCGTTTTTGCCAAATTTAAATAGGGTTCGTCCTTGAGCCAAATAAGTGGACTGTGCCAAATTTCATCCAAATCGGATCACAAATGCGACCTGTACTTTGTTAACGAAAATACATGGACGGACGGACGGACGGACAGACGGACTTGTGTAAATTGACTCAGAAAGTGATTCTATGCATATTATCAAAGGGAACCATGTGTCTATTTCGTTTCATTTAGCCTGTTATAAAGGGTATAAATATACGCTTTAGATAGGCCTTGAAAACAAACTTCTTTAAAAATCTACAAAAATCGAAAATAAATAAATAGGCCTTGAAAAAATATTCTTTAAAAATCTACGCCTTAGATAGGCCTAGAAATAATTATTCTTTAAAAATCTATGTCCTTTGATATAATTTCATGTTCAGCAATTGTTTTAGTTTTCCCATCCTATCCACTGAATCCGTCTACATTTCTCCCAACTATTCATTAAATTTCAAACATAAATCATTAGAAGGACACATGAACGGACTTTCAAAAACAAAGTAAAAATCATTGCCATCATCATCAAAGAGGAACACACGACGAATGTAATCATTAACGTGGATATATCCCAAAACGAGCAATGCAATTTCCTTTGGTGTATAACTATGCGTGTGACAAAACTAATTATGAGCAATAAGCTAAGCATCGGGACAGAAAGAAGGAACGGAAGCACAAGTATAGTAATGGGACAATAGACCATCACTGTGTCTGGATGACTTTAGTCAGTTGATGTTAAGTTGCATTAATATGCTCTCGTTGAAGACATTATTAGCAACAAAGTGGACAAACAATCAGGGAGGGAACGAGAGAGGTGGAGGCGAGAGACAACAGAGTAAACATTGAGGAAAAAGTGTCAACATTGTAACTTTTTCCTCTGGTTCTGGACAAAGCATCAAACCTTGAGTGGACACACACATAAAATGAAAAGAAAGCAATAATGTCCTTCCCCACTAAGTAGTCTTCGTGTACGTCGTTGTATTCTACCGTCTATTATTAATCTAATTATTTAAACATTATTTTGTAATTTATTTAATTTAAACAGACATTAAAACAGAAGACATCAGAGAGACACAAACGAATGGAAAAAATCTCAGAAGAGAACTCATAAATAATTTATTGTCTGCGTGGCAGCTTAGATTGTTGGGAATTACAACTTTTTTCGCTTCCCTTTATAACTTTCATTTGTCAAAATTATGTTCTTATTATTTTGTTTATGTTGTTGTCTACATATATATATATATATATATATATATTTATATAATTCTTGTATTTGGATATGAAAATAACTTACCATTTTTAAATGTCACCATTAAACTATCCGAATCGATGCCGTGATGATAATTAAACAATGATGTCTCCAATAAATCTTCGGGTTTATAACCCAATAAATTAAACATTCTGTAATTTTAGAAAATAACGGTTATTAGTAATTAGAATATTGTGATGGTATTATGTGAGTACTCACTTTTCATCTGCATACACAAATTTCATATCCAATGAATGCTTGGTTAGAAAAGTGGTGCTGCCCAATGGTACCTCAATGTTGGAGGGATGGGGTATGGGTCTACCCATTGCCACCAAAACACGATCACCTTTTGTATTGACCACCAAGTGGCCGGTAATGTGAATGACCTGGAAATTAAAATATAAATTATTGTAAGTTCGTTCTCATATAGGAAGATTTCAGAAACAACTAAACGAGTGATTTATTTCAAAATTCTTGAAAAATCGGTGCATTTATATGAAGGCAGTGTCATTGTAAATTGTCTGCTAGTAGGTTACACTCTGAGAGGAAATTAAATATGAATTTACATATACTTAGATTAAAAAACTAGGCTAGGAAATTTAGCATACCAAACAATTATGCGGGACATGTGTATATATTAAAAAATATGTTAAGTTAAATTGAAAAGTTTCTGGTAGGAAATATTTCTTCACCAGGAGTCTGAACTGCTAAAATGCAGCTACTTGTAGGGGGAAATGCGGCTAAAACCTTCAAGATATGAAGAATGTCGGGACCCATCATAAACCAACATGTAAAATATTCTGCAATTTTTTCCACACTGAACATTTTCTGCGCAGATGTAGTCAGACTCCAAACCCACGAAATATCAATTTGCAATCCTTTCGGTAGGACAATGCTGCTAAAAACCAAATACCCAAATTAATGGGTGGGACGTTTATATGATGGCTATATGTAACCATGAAAACAGAGTCCAATGCCCAAAATGAGGAATTGCAGCCTTTTCGGTTGGAAACTGCGGCTTAAACACTCAACAATTGAGTTAAAGTTTTAAATGAAGGCAATGTCAAATCTAAGGACATTTGATACTACAAATCCTAAGACTAATAGCAATGTCAATTCAAAATTTCAAAGCTCTATCTTAAATATTGCTATCTCTATCCTGATTTCAACAGACAGACGAATATATATACTTTTTGGCGGACCCGACCAATATATTGCGGTGTTGTAAACGGAATAACAAATAAATTATGCAAATCACCCTTTATGGTGGAGGGAAGAACATGAAGAGCTCGAACTTCCTAATTGAATGATTTGAGGCGATACTAACCACACATCATACACTGGTTGTACGATACAGTTAGTAAAAGAACACTGTTGTCGGGGGTAGGCAGTGTGTAAAGGCCAACTTCGCACCTATTTACTGGCGCTTCGCGTATCATTTGTCAATTTCTATTAAATAGGATTCAAATTCTCCATCCGTTGGATTTGTTAGTTTGTTCTCAAGGAACTAGGAGTGTAATTAGGTTCAAGAAAATAGTAACATGACTATCCTCGCACTCTGGATACTCACATAGCAAACACTTCAAAACAACAATTTCGAATGGAAGATTGGTCTTTTTTTTACACGATCTGTCTTCTAAACAGACAGTTCTAAGGTGGCAGAAGGTACGGGTGTTTTATATGAAAATGAATCTTCCAGTACTTTCAGTCATGCAACCGGTAACTATATAAATCAATAGTCAAGCGGTTCTCAGGACGATCAAATCACAATCCATAAATTCAAATTTTCTTCATCTCTGCACAATATACGTCATTTCGTTGAACTTTATTGAGTTTCAGGTCACAGCGATTTTATAAGGAATAAAATAGTTTATGGGCTAGCTTGAGGTTTTTCGCAGACTACTGATATTATGATAGACGATGATACTACTGTTAAAGCACCGTGTCCACGACAGATGGGCCTACGATTCAAAACGAACCGAATCTTATTCGGCCAACGTCTGTCACCTCAGCCCATTGTGTAAAAGCAATAGGACTGCTACTACAACGACAACAACTGTTAAAGCATTTATATTGGCGGAATCCTTCTAAAATACTGGTTTTTGCAACCCAAGCAGATTCTAAATGCAGATCTAAGTCATTGATTTCTCTTAGTAAGAAAGATATGAAACTAACTTTTAGGATCATAACAGGTCAATGCAGAAATAGACCTGTCTCCGACATTTTTCTTCGAAGTAGATCTCATCTTTATTTACAGTTTTGTCAAAAAATTGTGATGACTAAATTATCAAATCTAAGCTCAAATTCCTTTTCTTATAAAGCTATATTTTATCTTCATCGCCTTTCTTTCCTAATCTTAATATTCGTTCAAAATCTTTCGTTTCACTTCTTCTGGTACCGCTCCCATAAAATGGGCGAAATAAATTACGTCAATCTAAAAAAATCCAATCTGATCGAAATTTCATACGTCGGAAGTCTAACTCTTCCACAAGGAGACATACTTAAAACTTGTTGGTTTGGTATATAGAAAACAGATTTAGTTTAAAGACTGAATTCCGCGAAGGCCCTCAAAAAATTACCCTTAGGATACAGAAGATTAACAATTCAAAATCGTCAAGATTAGTTTGCGCGAAATCTTCGCAGAAATTCGAATCAAGAACAAAATAAGACGACGCCATCTCTCACACACCGCCCAAAACCAGTGACCGATTGAGCCAACGACTTCTTCTTATTTCTGAATATCAGAAAAAATGTGGCAAGTGTGGAAAAATATGCTGTTAAAATGTTCAATTAACTAAAATTGGTAAGGGACCTTTATATAGAGGCTATTCCAAGGAAAGTTGCTGTCAGGAGTTTTTTTTTTATTTAAAACATTATTTTGTTCGTATAAAAAGCCTCTAAATATGAAGAAACTAATTCTATATGTAAACCAACAAAATTGAAAAACGGACAACGTCTGTCACCCTTATCATAAGGTCTTAAAAGATACAATAAACAACAAAATAAAATGAAAATCTGTATGCAAAGCAGTATAGTCGGTGGGGAAGACCGATGTAGTACCACCAAGTAATGAATTTCTGTAACATTTTGTAATTTTGAATATTATTATCAAAGCAGTCATGCGTATTCGTTGGTCAGTGCCCCTTTTGTATTCGATAAATAACTGTGGCTTCAAGAGCAAATAGAAATATATCCAAACATCCAGTTTTGGTTCCATTTGATCCTCTATATATTAATCGATCATTTACGAAAACTTTGCATGTTTGGTATGTTAGAATTTATAGTCGGAGCCTACTCTGGAGTAAGAGTGATCAAAGTAGCTCGACTCCCCAGTGCATAAAATACTTATACTTGGCGTGACCTTGCCAAAATATGGACCTATATTGAGCACTTTCTGTAAAAAGTTTTTCGTCTTATGCGAAAAGCCTCCAAATATCATACAACTTAAGGGTAGTAGCAATTTATGTGCAAATTTCAACGCCCTATCTCAAATATTTCCATATCTTTTTTGTTTATACCTTGGTATTTGGATTCTCATTGGGTAGAAAATATGCCTAACAAAAATATCGTATTAACCTCCTTTTAAAGGTAGCCCCCAATTTTTAATTGAAATTTTCATTGGGTTTTAAATATGACTACCAAAAATATCGATATCGGTTTTGTAAGAGGATTTCAGGAATTTTTTTTGATGTCACGAGTCATTTTGCTACGTTTAAGGTCCTACCCCAACCTGAGTGTCTGTATTTTGGTATTTCGTTTTTTCCTCGATTTTAGGTATTTTGAATTTTTGCCTACTAATAAAAAATCTCTCTACGCCAAATTTACATACAATTAAAAATTCCCTCAATTTACCTTATAAGAAGCACTTTTAATATTGATGCTGCGACCACGACTGGTCAGGGTGCATTTCAAACGAACAAATAGATCACGATGATCGGTGGAGATGCCTTCCTCCAATAAATGTTCATCTTTAATTTTATCAGCAACGCCATTGCGTTTAATATTCAAGGCTTCTTTGAGCTCAGCATGATCGCATTGATGGGCGTACTCCCAGATTTGTTGGCCCAGCATATCAATCTAAAAGCAAACAAATTTATAAAATTAATACATAAACCAATCTAAAATATCCATCACCACCTACCTTTGATATACCCAAATAATCACTAATATTATCGGTAACATAGGTAATATCCCCATCATTGGATAAAATCAAAAGGAACCCATCCAGGGTTTGTTTTATGAAACGGGTAGATTCCATGGGCGAAGACGATGACGATCCGTCTTCAGCCGAAGTGTTTAAATTTTCTTCAGAGCCATCTGACTTTGTTGCTTCTGATTTGTCTTGATTATCATCCGTCGATTGAGATTGTTGTGACTCATTTTCGGAATCATCTGGTGTCTGATTTGAAGAAGTATTATTTTCATCTTCATTGTCTTCTAGGGATTTATCAGAATCTTCTTGATTGTATGATATATCTAAATCACCACACAAGGCTTGGATTTTGGGAACTACAAAAGAAAGAAATTTGTTCATTAATAGGTTACGAATGTCTTTTATTTATGTGCGTCTACTTACACATTTTCAGCATATCACGAACTTTAAGATATGATATGGCAATACGCATAACCGAAGCTTTATCCAGCTGTTGGACATCTTCTTTTTTCAGGGGCAGCACCTGGGCCAATTCTGTGAAAATTTCAGTTTCACGAGACCGCCGGCATCTGGCAGCATCACGAGAACGTTCTTTACGTTTTTCATTGTTCCTGTAAATATTTGAAAAAGAAAATGAATATTAGCAAATATTATTTGAAATTAAAAGCAGAATAATTATTTATAATTCAAATTTGAGTTCGAAAAAATATTAATTTGTAAAAAGTGATTTTAAGTTCGAAGAAATATAAATTGTAAGGTTTCTTTGAATCAATGAACAAGTTGCATTATTATAATGAAATGTTTCATTAATACAATGAAATCTTACTACGGGAACAAAATGGATTTCATTTATGTAATATATAAAAATGTGTTTTGTAATTTGGTACGCAAAACAATTTTTAAAAAACATAAATAAATATTATAAATGAGCTTTTGCTAAAAAAAATGTATGAATACATTTCATAGTTTTAACGAAACATTTTATAAATTTTATGAACTATTCGGAATATATTAAAGAAGAATAATCATGTTAGAGTTGAATGCTAGTGTTCATTAAATAATGAAGCTATTGCACAAAATTAATGAAAATAATATATAACATCAATGCACATGATTCTTTGCATTTACGAAAATGTTTCATTGAAAAAAATAATAATAAGTAAATAGTACCAAAAACTACATCTCTGATATTACTACATTTTTTTACAACCAATACTAGATTAGAATATCGCTTCTCATGAAGTACTTAAGCAAACCCAAATTTCAATAAAATCCCCACTCTCCGAGTCTGGACTATCCGACTCTAATTCGTTTAGCGAACACTGAAGGCTTAAGATCATTATCCACGTTTGCCCAATTTGATGGACTCAGATCATAAGCTGGAAGTAGTTCCTAAACAAGGAGTAAAAGCATTCTTTTAAATCTTGTTGTTTCGGATGAAGCCATAACAGCTCCGCTCACGAGCTGCTTTATTGACGTCCAGCGTGAAGCCCGCTTCATTGACACCAAAAGTGGAGCGTGCTACATTGGCGCCCAACGTGGGACCGGCTTTATTAACACCCAACGTGGAGCGTTGCTTTAATTTCCTAATATTAGTGTTAATGATAATATTTCCTAATATCAGTGAATACAATACCGAGTTTTAAAGAAGGTTCCTATTGTATCAATGAATCTTATACATTAAATTAATGAACGTGTTTCGTTGCATATATGAAAGTATTTTTTATATTTATCATAATGAAAATGAAAAGTATATAATGAAAATAATCAAGTTATATTTGGTTCAAAATTATGATCAAAGTTGATTAATATAACGCAAGGTTTCATTTATGTTTAAGAACGTTTTTCGTTTTGGGCATGGAGTCATATATTTTAAAATGAAAATTTGTTAAATACATTCTAATGGAGGAAAACTATCCAAATGTCTTTTTAGGACATACGACCATGAATAGGACTTCTGTAGAAAGAAAGAAACATTCCTAGACAGATTCTATAGTAGGAGTGTAGAACACATTTTTAAGATACCATTGTAAGCATAGGATCTTTGCGTGCAGTAGACATTCGAGAGGCCTTCAATGGGAAAATTACCTTGTTCGATTGGTTGAAGTTCTATTTGGTTGAAAATTATGCACAAAGTTCATTGATATAACGTAAGATTTCATCAACGTTATGAACGTTTTTCTTTTTGTGTATCGAGTCATACGAGTATATCTTAAAATGAAGATTTTTTAAATACATTCTAATGTAGGACGACTGTGCAGATGACTTTTATGGACAGAAGACCATGAATAGAACTTCTTTACAAAAAAAGAGAAAAAAATCCTTTATATATAATATATAGGCTAATTTACTTGTAGGATTGTATAAGACATTTATAAGATACCATTATAAGCATAGGATCTTTAGAGGCAGTAGATCTTCCAGAGGTCTTGAATGCGGAAATTATCTTGTATTGATATTTTACATTAAATTAGTAATTTCATAAATGTAATGTCAATGGAAATATTTCATAATATTAATAAAGGCAATACATAGCATGTATTATCCAAAAGAATTCCCAGCCATATTATATACGCTGATTAAATTCTGGAGGTATATTTAGAACATTAATCATTATTGAAATATTAGTTTACGCGTCTTCAGTTATTATTATAGATGATATAAGTAATTATTATAAATGTATATAAATAGAGGATCTTTGGAGATAGTCTGTGAGTAGTGGAACTTTCAGTATGTCTTTAATAGAAAAAATGTCTAATATTGATTTTCTAGACAGACTAATATATTTTGAAAGTATTTTATCAATCGGTTTCTGCCTATTAGATTACAAACAATGACAGATATGCTACGTATTGATATTGTACATTAATTAATGAAAATATTTCATAATATCAATCAAGTCAATACATATAATTTATGAACGTATTTCATTTAAATTTCAATCACCTAATTAACAGTACCCAGAAGAACTTTCGGACGCTAATTAAATTCTGAAGGTATATTAAAATAATATATCAGAAATAATTTGTATTTATTCCTGAGATATTATTTTAAAAGTCTTGATGTATTATTACAAAAGTCTATAGATAAAGAATCTGTGGAGGCAATTATTAGAAAAAGTTTTTTTACTAGAAGTTTATTTTTTAGCAGATATTTAGCAAGGCTACTATATATACCAAAGGTCTTTCACAAGAGCATTTCCCTAGACATTAACTAATAAGTAATCACATAGGACTTTTATTTGAAGATAACCTCCAAGTCATATATTAATAGAGGGCGCACCGATGTCGTTGATTGGTGTAGGCGGATATTTTCAGATTTTTTATTGATCGATCCTCAATTTTAGATTTCAAGATCGCATTTATTAAAAAAAAAACGTAAAGGTTCGAATAATGAAAAAAAAAAATAAAAAATAGAGAAAATCTGTTTGGTGGACTATAAGCAGGAAGACTTATTTTAGGTCTTCTATCTGCATTAGACCTTCGACTGATTGGGATATATGTAATGCCTTCAAATATCGACGCCTACGAACCATAGCATGTTTACGACTTAGCATGTTTTAAAGTTCTTTACGTTTTTAGATATTACGGTCCTTAATTTAAATTCTCTGAAATTTTGGTAATCATCGGCCAATCCAAACCAAAGTTATAAGCAAAAATGTACTTAGCATGACACGTAAGATATAAGAAACTTCCATACTATGAGAGCTTCTACTGAAAAACTCACTTTTCAGACTTAGCATACTATTCTTTAGAGGCGTCGATATTTCGTATTTAGCAACCATAACGTTTCCCTAAATTACTATGCATTGATTGAATATGCCTTGGAATACTTGCCAAACAACCAACCAAACACGGGACTGTTAACAAATTATTTACGTCACAATAAAAAACGGATGCATAGAACGAGATCACGTATGCCCATCACGAAGTGTAATATTCATACACATCCCCTATATATAATTTTTAGAAGCATTCAATTACATGAAAATCACATGGAAACTGATAGAAAAAAATATTTAAATTTCTAAGAAATTATCTCCTCGGGAGCAATGGCTATTAACAAATGTTTTTACATATCACATTTTTAGGGTTGATGGTCTCTAAACACATTTTTAGAAGAACCAGTTTTGTTAATGGTTGGAATCTTATGCCTAAAAAATACACGCCTGTAAAACGCCTGGTCCTTGAAAAATATTCTTAAAAATACATACAGTCGTTGAAATAATTGTTTTAAACAATCCGCGCTTGGTTCTTAAAAATATTATGATAAAATATATAATTGGCAAATCGAAATGAACATATATAGTGGCGAACGCGAAGAAGGGTATTTTCAAAATAGCAATGTCGAATTCGACGGGCCTGTGGCTGTGAATAGGATGCGGCCCTCAGATGATCAGTGACCAGACTCGAAAAAGACAACCAAGTCGCATGTAGCGGAACAAGCTGATTCGTAATATTAGGTTGCGTCCCTACAAAGAAATAGTAGACGAAAGTCAAACCTTCTATCTCAACGCAAGGATCGCTCACATCACCCATCTGTCAAACCGATGAAGTGGATCGTAAAAACCTTTGGATTGGGCATGTCAATTCGTACTGACACATTAATTGTGGAAATAAGGAGCCTGCGGATCACCTTAAGGAATACCGACTAATTGGTAAGAAACTAGAGTGTGTAAGAGCAAAGAGCATGTGATAATTTTCTTTCAGATTCCTATAAACAAGATCACTATTAAAACGGCAATTCTATCCAATTCTGAAAAATATTTTTTTGTATGACTTGTGGTCCGTGAACAATGAATGTTAATTTCATCCCTAGTCCTTAGAAAAGGTATTTTTTTATGACCGTCAAATAAAAATAAATGACCTTGAAAATTCATACAAAATCAGGCCTTGAACTGTGGTGGTCCCATTTGTCCGAAATGAATACAAGAATCAAATTCCTTGACAACAACAAAAATATTAGTTCACCGGTATTTTCTAAATAATTTGTGTTTACTTATTTGTATTAATACTGTTGTTTTCTCTATTTATTTTTATTGTATTTTTTTCGAAATTCTGTGTACAATATTTTCTGCTCTAATTTGTTTTGTTAAACATATCATATTTTACTCAGACCAAACAAAGTATTTTTTCAACAAGTACAGATTTGTGTTAAATTTATGAGAATATATGTTTCAAAAAAAAAACTTTCACTTTTTTAGAATCCTCAGCAGACAGCAATTATAAATCAGAACACGCGCCAGGCGGTAAAATATTTGAAAATCATCATAAAAATAGTTTTATTTTTCTTTAAACTTTATACATGTTTGTATGTATGTAGATATACATTCTGAAAAATGAAGAAACGTGCCAGGTAATGGGGTTCAGAATACTACTTACTCAAAGGTATTTTTCATTGTCATGGAAATAAGAAGAAAAATAACTAAAGCCTATAGAAGGGTAGCGGCATATTAAACAAAAAAATTGAAAGCAGCAGTGTAGAAAAAATTATTCAATTTATTACGAAACTAGCAAATCGTTTTAAAAGGAATTTGACAATATAATTCTTATTGGCCACAGTCCAATATTACACACAAAGTGAATCATGGTCTACTCGATTTGATGTCACG